TTGGTCAAGATTTTCGTGCCATGATTTTTTAGACATTGATTTTTTTTCGCGCGAAATGCTTTTTTACTCTTTTTTTTTTTTTAAAAAAAAAAAAAATTATACTGTAAATAAAGAAATACGAAATATTATAATTTCAATGAATTTAAAATAATTTATTACTGGTAAATTATTATCATGTATACAAAAAAAGAAAGGTATGATGTCTGCAAGAGAAATTTCAAGAAAAAAAAAAAAAAGATTTTCATTTTTCCGATAAATTAAACCCCACATGAATAAATAATATAAATAATTCATTCATTCTTATATCTGCAATTTTTATTACTATAAAGAAATGATGAGAATTTAACCGAATATAGAATTCACTTGAGAAAATCACTTATATAAAGCTTATCAAATTTAAGATTAATTATAGAATTTTTTGAAACCATTATAAGAGAACTATTTCTTTTTATGAATTTTTTTTTTCCAGAAAGATAAATAAATTGTTTTAAAAAAATAAATAAATAAATAAATTTCTATTATAGGAATATTTCTTAAATGTTTTAATCAAAAAAAAAAAATCGAAATTAAGAATCGCGTGACAAAGAGGACAAATTTCATAAATTCATTTAATAATTTCAAAAAACGATAATTTTTTGACAACAATTATAAATCATACGTAATAAAACTTTATTTAGCAATTATCAGCAAATGATTTAACTCATTAGTTTTTCAATCTCTATCAGATCAAGTATTGTAACGTAACTCAAAAAAGTTTTTTAATTTTTTAAAGTTTGATTCTAAAATTAGATGAATTAAAATGCCAAGGAAAAAATAACAAAACCTTTTAAGTGAAAAAAAATATATTTAAGATGATTATAAATGATACACGTTTATTATATCGTATGTTTCCTCGTGTTTATTTTATTCAAAAATGTAATGAATGAAAATTTTTTTTACTGCGACTTGAAAAAATTGAAAATAATAATTAAATGTTTCTTATCAAATGACAGAAAAATAGATTATATAATTTGTGTACAAAATATTTATACATGTCCCAAGGTTTTTTGTTTGTTAGTAATTATCACAACAAAAAGCCACCATTATCTACCTAATAAAATACTAAATCAAACGGAAATTTACGGAAACCCCAAAAATGATAAAATACACGTTTTTATATTTTGGATTTTTATTATTTTCTACTCAGCCACATAAAATTTATCAAGAAATTATCGATAACGTTTAATGTAACAAAAAAAAACTTGTTATTGAAATAATAATAAATTTTCTCATTTTTTTTTTCTCATTCTTTCATATTCGGCGGATAATAGATTTAGTAGAACATTGAAAACCGGCTGTGTTACATTAAACAATATGAACAAGTTTTTTTAATGAATTTATTAACAAAGAATTTTATTATTATTATTATTATTATTTATTATTATAATATTTTTTTTTTTTATATATATATATTTTTCAAAGAGAACAAAAATAAAAAAAATAAAATTAATTTTATTTGTTTGCTTTTTTTAGATATTTTTTTTTTTTTATTGCAGTAAAAATCATTATATTAATTACTATTATTATT